GGTGGGGCATGGAGCGGGGCTTGCGGCGTAGCGCGCGCCCTGAGTCTCGGGGGCGGGGCTTGAACTGGACCGACCAGCTCCATTCCCAGCTCCAAGCCAGTCTGGCCGAAAGGCGAAAACCCAGAGTTTGAGTCCGGTATTGCAAGAGGCCGAGTTGGAGCAGGCCGGAGGTGGAGGTCACCGAAGCGGGAGGAGGGCTTCTGAGGCTGGATTCTGAAGGACCCCATTAATGGAGGGATTCATTACCAGGTGTCAAGCAGATGCAGGCCGTCCGGGATGGTTGTCCCTCTAGCCCCGTCACGTTGTTTGCCTATAAAGGGAAGGCACTACTTTCTACCTGCAGAGAAGATGGTGGCCACAGGCTAGACCGATGTGGTTCACTTCAATGTTTGTTTTAGGGAGTTAGGCTACTTGAGAAGCATCTTAAAGGGGAGAGAGGGTAAGTTAAATATAATTTGCAACTATCTCTGCGATGCCCCGGTGCCCACAAGACATTATCTCCACTCCCACTGCAGATCTGCTTCTCTTCCCTGCTTTTCCTGCGCCACCATTCACTCAGAAAGTGAAAAAAGTGAAAAAACTTGTTCACCAAAGCTTGGGTGTCATCCTTGAGGTCGCTCCTTCATCCCCTAAAAGTATCAACATAAATACATCTTATAAGTACAATCTTGGTGGCCCCGTGGCTTAGCGGTTAAGTTCACGAGCTCCACTACTGGCGACAGGGGTTCGGATCCCAGGCGCGCACCAACACACAGCTTCTCCGGCCATGCTGAGGCCGCGTCCCACATACAGCAACTAGAAGGTTGTGCAGCTATGACATACAACTATCTACTGGGGCTTTGGGGGAAAAAATAAATAAATAAAATTTTAAAAAAATGAATACAATCTTGAGTGAAAAGGAAATTGCAGCACATACGTACTCTAAAAGAAAAACTTTCCACTTGCAGCAGCTCCTGCATCCGAAATAGCAAAACTGAAGCCTGTGTTTACCATAGCTGATTCTAACCAGCCAAAGCTGATAATGACTAAGAACTCTGAGCAATTCCAGTATGCCAGACCCTCACCAGCATAATGAAAGACTCTCTTGAACATCCAAAGCTGGGACTTGTCTTAACCAGCTGGGAATGGATTTTGGGATTCATCCTTCCCTGTGCAGGTACAAGCTTCAAACCTTTGTCATATCCACCATGATCCTCCCCCTGCCCTTTAGACTTACAGAAATTAACCACAGGGAATTAAGTAAATTACCTGCAGTCCTAGGCCTTGGTAGAGCTGTTATTTGAAATAAGGTCTATCCTACACCCTTAACTGTATATTATGTTGCCTCTTACAGTATCATTCCTCGACCAAAACACAGAGCTCTTCTGTATGTGTAATCCATCATAAAATATATCATAAAGTAAGTGAAAGGAGCCGGTTTCTGCTCTATCCCATTAGTTCCACACAATGATTTGTGTTTAGTAATGTTTCTAGTTGGCATTAACATATTTTAGGAGATGGTGTAACCAAACTCAATGGGTTCATCTCTTGGTGAGTGTGGAGCCAAAAAGCACAACCAAGGCTGAAGTGGGTGAAGAAAAAGGTTTATTGCTTGCACAAACAATGGGGAACACTGGGGATAGTTCCCAAAGCAGTGTCCCCCTGAGCCTAGTGCTGGTGGAGACCTTCTACATGAGAATGCAGAGGCTATGTTACAACTGTTGAACAACTGGGCCCAACCAAGGCGCACGTGTGGGCCATTACATTACGAGTTCAAGGTACCAATACATAACGAGTTCAGTGTAACATGCCATTACATAACGGATCCGTGGTAACTTATGGACACTTAGAGCTGGAGCAAACTGCAGGGGTCTTGCTGCAATCATGTGAGTTTCACTGTAGGATGACAACATCTGCAAAAACAGGGACATCAACCTCTGAAAAACAGCACATTTATTTTTCTCCTTGTCTGGAAAACACTTGACAGACCATGTTAGTTATTGATCAGAGTCGCAATGACCATTTCCTTGCCTGGTTCCCGGTCACAAAAGCTCAGCTCCTAACTAGGAACCCGCTGAGAACCACAGACGTGTCAATGGGTGTGAGGAAGATTGTGTGAGGAAGAAGTTTTTAGTCTCTGGTCACTGGGGCCTATCAACAATTTATTTTGTTTGTTTGTTGTCTTTTTTGTAGAGGCTGTAAGTCAGGACTGTGTCTGCTAAACACACATGTACACACACATAACCAGAGCAGTAAAGATCTGGCACAACAGAAGACCTCGTGAAGAAGAGTGCTTCAATGTAAGCATTGTTTTATCATTTTTGGAGCCTTATTTGTGTTGACTTTACACTTTAACAGATCCTCCAAACAAAAACATCAAAAGCAAATACCAGGTTGCAGTGTTTCAAGTCAATTAATGTCTACCGAGTATCCACAATACCAATTTTTAGGTCTGTAGGAGTAGTTTATAGCTTTGTTTGAAGAGTGACATCATCCATTCAATAAACCTTTCTCCAAGAAATTAATAAATGAACTTATGAAAAAAATCTCCTATTTTCTCAACCTACCCTATCTGCCATGTTTCTAGGACCTCATATGTTAGAGCCATAATAATAATATCAGCTAAAACATGATTATATGCCACTGTTTGAAGTGCTTTACTTAGATGACGCATTTAATCTTCATACCAACGCTATGCAGTAAAGACTGTTATATCTCCCACTTTTACACACGGAGGACATTAAAGGAGAGAGAGGTTATCTAACTGGTATAAAGTCACACAGTAAATGGCAGAGCTGCCCTAACTCCTTTAGTCTGTTCTCATTACAGTGACCAGAACACTCCTGTTACAAGTCCGACAAGTGTCATTCCTCAGCTCAAAACCCCCAGTGGCTCCCTTATCTCCTGCAATGACCTGCAAAGGCCTACACATCTACTTCCCAGACCTCAGCTCCTTTTCCTCTCTGGCCTTTGCTCACGCTCCTCTAGCCTCCTTGCTCCACCTCCGAGCACTCGTCTGTGCCACTTCATCTGCCTGGCACCCTCTCCCCAGATAATCTCCCGGCTCACTCCCCACCTCCTTTAAGTTTTTATTGAAATGTCACCTCAGCCAGGCCTTCCTGGATCATCTTATTTAAAACTGCAACTTATCTGCATTTCCCTCCACAGCTTAATTTTCTCCATGCCACTTACCTCCTAACGTGCTATATAACTTACTAATTGTATAGTCACCTCCCCACTCTAGCATGTGAGTTCTTTGCGAGTGAGGATTTTTATGCAGCACTTAGAACAGTGCATAAGCATGCTAAACCGATGAGTGGAGGTGGAGTAAGAAGTGAGAGGCTGGTCTGCAAAGAGAAAACAAGACAGCTTGCAGCGTGTCAGAGATAAGAGGGAGACGTTGCCCTGGCTGCACCCTGCCCCTTTCTGAGTTCTGGTTCTCCTCCTGCCCTGGCTTCTGACACACTTGTTTGCTTATCATAAATCCACTCCCTCTGGTTAGCCAGTTACCTGTTTCTTGACACTTAGCGTCTTTCTTAACTGAGATAGCACCCTGTTCCCTCTGCCAGAAGTGCCTTTTTTGCCTTGTCCAAAAGCTCGATCTCGTCTTTTACTCAAGTCATCAGTCAAGCTGCCCCTGACCACCCCCAGCGATTGCATGCAATAAATTATTTACTAAGGCTTTTGTCCTTTGGGCAGGGACCATGTTTTTCCCTTCTGCCCACAGAATCTAGGCAAGTGCCTGGCACAAGGTGAGCGCTCAACTGAATAAACAAATGGAGGGGGGCGATATAGGTGGCATTTGAGGCATTCTAAATATTGAGAAGTGAATTTGTGATGAGAATCTGCTCATATATAACTATCAAAATAGAAAATTCAACACATAAGATGGTTGAGACTGTATGTAAACTATACATTCCTAGGAAAAAAATGGAAACAAAATCAACCTGCTTCTCCCAAAATGAATTATCTTTTTCGATATGAATTATTGTCATATGGGAAATGCAGTGGCCTCCAGGTACACTATCAGGCAAGCTCTGCCAGAGGTCATGGAGCAGAAAGGCTCACAGACCAAATTAAAATGCTTGAATCACATGGTTTATTAAATTAATTTAAAACAGCCAGAGAGAAGCAATGAGAAAGAGACAGGATAAGCAAACGCCATTAGGAGAGGCTGCGAGCCAGCTGGAAGAACGTGCTGTCTAAATCCTGCATCACACGATGTTCACGTCCCCCACTCCTCTCTGCAACATCAGCCTTCCTGCTGATGGTGGTTCTGAAGACCAGGGGTTTGAGCAAGGAGAGACGCAGGGGGAAGGCGCCATGAGCTGTGACACACACCCGTTCCAGCAAAGAGATGCAGGTACAAATAAGACAACTTTGCCGGTTGGCCTGCAGAACAGCCATGAGTGTTACTGTGTTTCTTGGGCCAGGGACACATGGGGACAGAATGAGTGGCCTAATTAAGCCTTATGACCAGTGCATACTCATGTGTATTTTGTGTGTTGTGACTATATCGTGCCTCTTGTATATTTAGTGCTCAGATGTCGCATGTATATTTAGTGCCTAGGAATAGTGGATATCTCAGACCTTCTATTCCTTTCTATCTATGTTTAACACCTGCTTTATTTACTAGCTACCTATCTTAACCCACCTTATGAATTCCGCTTATGTTTAACAAACTCTGTTTACTAACTACTTATCCTTTCATCCTAAAAGCTTTCCCCTAAGTTTTACAAATGCATTAATCTTCTTTAGTAGAATTGAATATT